GGGAAAGAGATCGTAAGCCACTCTGAGACTCCAAGTGAAGGGTGGCGTATAAATCCAACTCTTCTTCTTTTTCTTCTCATAGAAGCTCCTACCTTGCCGCTAACATTTTTAGTCTTTTAGGTGCCACTGGACTCTTGCATGGTTTATTTTTTTGTTGGCTCGATTCATGAAGATTAACATCATAGAGAGCCTGTTTGCCAGGAAACTTCAACTCTGCCTTCTTCACATCAGAGAATGTACATTGTCTACCAAGAGGCCTCTGTGTCTCAGAAGTGACACACGTTTTAGTATCTACTGTGTGTGAAGGAAGGGTCTAGATTCTATATGTTTACTGGATTGCAGTTTGTTGGTAACCAAGTGGGTAAAACTTGTCACCCATTCAGTGCATAGCAGGGAGATGCACCACCCCTGACTTGACACGTTTAGGTTCCTGATACATTCAGGACCAAGAGGGTGACTGTTTATACTCAAGTAGTTAAGACCCTGAACTGCAGACAGGAAGGTCGGTAGTTCAGCAGTTCAAGACCCGAGTGCCACATGACAGAGTGAACTCCTGTCTCTGGTCCCAGCTCCTGCCAACCTAACGGTTCAAAAGCAAGAAATTGCAAGTAGATAAATAGGCACCACTTCGGTAGGAAGGTAACAGCATTCCGTGCGCCTCGGAGTCTAGTCATGCTGGCCACATGACCACGGAAATGTCGCTGGCTCTTCAGCTTGGAAACGGAGATGAGCACCGTGTCCCTAGAGTCGGATTCGACTGGCTTTCGAGCAAGGGAAACCTTTACCTTTACCCTAGAGGTACTTTTAGAAGCAATAAGTGGACATGTTGCAGACAGCTCTCCTCTGGATTGTCTTGTCTTCTGTGAACCCAGATTCAGCGGGAGCAAAGCTCATGACGTATAGCACCTATTTGCTTATGCCTGTGTCTCTTTCATAGCTGTAAAGGACAGTTGCATGCAGAGGGGTGGAGGAGGTAGTCATGTTTTCCTAATTAGAGAAAATTGCAGTTTGATTTCCCAAATTCTACAGAGTGACTTCTGAATTTTGAAGAAAAAAAGGTACTAGCTCTGGGAATGTCACTTGTTTTTCATGCAAAGATTTTGAGGACAGTGCATTTCTAGTATAATGAAACCGTCCTTTGGAGATTCCTTCAAGTTTAGTTGGAATGAACTTTCAACTATATTAGTGTGACTGCCTTATTTATTTATTTAGGAGATTTTTATGCCACCTCTCCAGAGACCATTATCTGTGCCTGTAATTGTTTGACCCTTCCAGACAGAGTCATGGGCAGCTAATATATAAAACTAATTTCTGGATGTGCTGTGCATTCCTTTGGCATCAGAAAATGCATCTGTCTGGTTTGGTAGGGCTTGGATGAGCAATGTGATGTGGATTGGCATCCAGATTCTTCTTGGAAGCACACATGCATGATTATACGGATGGGTTTCCTTTGCTGGATCAGGGAATCACACAGTACTCTTTAGAAGCTAAGATTTCAAAGAAAACAAGAGCAACAACAGTGTTTTTCCTCTTTCCACGTGTGGATGATGGTGCCTGCTGTGATCTTTGGTACAAAGGACAGAATTGCTGCGGTGCTTTATTCTCTGTGGCTGGCCTGTGAACAAAGAAGGCAAATGAGAAAGAAAGGTCCTGAAAAATCATTAGGACAAGAGCACATGGGCAACATAGTGTGCAGCTACCAATCCGACACCTTTATGTATTTAGCATTCCACTCATGGTTACTTGAGTAGCTTATCCTTAATCTCTGGTCTTTGATTGAGTTTACTCCCCAGTTCTAACCCATAGCAGCATGCTCATTGTTTTGCCTAGTAAGACCTTCATAGCAATGCTCAAGTTATCTGTTGTCCTTGCATTTGTATCCTCTTAATTGTAGCTGTCCATCTAAGCACAGTGGTTGAATGGGTGAGATGCAATCTTCGCAAAATGGGCATTTTTGAACGGAGGGAAATCCTTATCTTTCACAGCGCCCGTGCTTGCTGTAACAGCTCTTGCCAAGTGAGCTAACCACTTGCTCCTTTTGCTTCTGTGTGCATCAAGCTTGAAATGTGCATCTACCTCCTAGCTAAGAAGGCATTTAACTGGGCTTCCAACCAGCATGGAAGCTTTTCTTTTTACTTCCTGGTCTTTGTAAGAAGCAGGAATAGCAGACCTGGAAAAGGAAACTGCTGTTGCCACAGCAAAAGCACTGCCCCCCAGTGAAGTACAGCCATAGACATCGGCCTAGCTGGGCAGTAGTGGAAAAGCTTACCCTGACCATAGCATGGTTTTCTGTTCCTAAATTAAATGTCGGAAATAGTTAGCATCAGTCAACAAGTTTGGTAGATTAGTTGCCAAAGAGAAAATATGACACAGTTGTCATAATTTGATGGCATGGTAGCATACAAGATGTAATAATAATAATGATAATAATGATGATGATGATGATGATTATAATAATAATACTTAAGTAGTACTTTTGATATGCAAGGTACTGATGGATCTGTATTGTGGTTCCCCTTTCAGTCACCTTACAAGGCAGCTCACTGTTACTCCCATGTTATAGATGGGGAGCATAAACATAATGATTTGGCTTATTATGCTACCAAAGCGAGCTAATAATAGAGGTGGGATGTGAAGCCAAGCCTTCCAGATCTGTGGCTGGTTACTTACCTAGGAGATATGCTAACTGGCTTTTGTGAATTTCTCCTAAAATAAATTGAGCTTTATGTTTTATTGCAAGATGTGATTTGTTTAGTAGATCAAGTGCACTATGGAAGTACGTTTGAAACTTGATTAAGCTTGTTCGTTTTAAAAACAAAGCTCCTGCAAAACAAAGGATTTGTCCTTTGCTCACCTCTGGTGCATGGGAGCATGTCTTTCACTCCATCTGTCCATTGGTTTGTTCACTCAGGAAAATCTCATTGACAGATTATGTTCCATGGAATTTGCTGTAGTGATTCAATGAAATGGAGGGTCACAAGCCCATGACTGAGAGCAAGAACCTTTACTAATTCTCAGTGTTGGGTTGGTGTTTGCCAGGACAAGAGATATATCATGCAGCTGGCCCCACCCTTCAGTGGAATCATTGCCTCATGTTACGCTAGAAGAAGCATTGGTTCTTATACCCCACTTTTTTCTACCATCAAAGCAGCTCACAATCACCTCTCCCTTCCTCTCCCCACAATAGTCACCTTGTGAGGTAGGTGGACTGAGAGAATTCTGAGAGAAACTCTGGCCCAATCTGCATCTAGCATTTGCTCTGCTGTTTTACCAAACCCACACTGCAATAGAATAAGATGCGGCTCAAAACCACATCCCAGTACCCCAGTCCAATGCCGTACTGACGGGATAGTCACCCCTGAATGGCCATAAATCTATGCAGACGCTACCATAAAACCAAGAGCTCAAAGGAAGTGAAAGCAGCATGCAGTCTGGACACTGCCATAATATCCAACGACCAATCAAGGTGAAAGTGGCACGCCACATAGAGGGGGATTTCTGTCCCAGTGTGGGTTTTGTAAAGTTAAAGGTTCCCTTGCTCGAAAGCCAGTCAAGTCCGACTCTAGGGTTGCGGTGCTCATCTCCGTTTCAAAGCCGAAGAGCCAGCGCTGTCCGAAGACGTTTCCGTGGTCACGTGGCCGGCATGACTAAACACCAAGGCGCACGGAACGCTGTTACCTTCCCACCGAAGTGGTACCTATTTATCTACTTGTAATTTCTTGATTTCGAACTGCTAGGTTGGCAGGAGGGGTTTTGTAAAACAGCGCAGCAAATGCTCGATGCCGATTGGGCCTCTGACCGGCCCAAGGTCCCTCAGCTGGCTTCATGCTGAGAAGTGGGAAATCAAAGCTGGTTCTTCAGATTCTTAACGACCGCACCATGCTGGCTCTCACTAGATATTGCTGTAGTGGTTTTTGGCATATAAAACTTAATGTGTGGTGTTCCTTTTAGGATTGGGGCATGCTTAGGGCTTTACAGGGAGGCTGCAAACTCTAGATTCCTGGAAGCCATGAGAAAATCAAATGATCCATCCTAGGTTTGTTTGTGTGCTGTGCCTAGCTACAATTTTGGAGGGTCTATGCTGTGTATAATGATTTCCCCCCCCCCCGGTATTTTTTAACAAAAACATGTTTTCATGGGCCAGAGAATCCAGGCCCTCTGTTAGTTAAGTAGCTGGATATTATGCAGTGAATAAGGAAGCGCCAGGTGCAGCCACTCAACAATGAAAATAAAGCTAATTATTTCACAGCTGTTTCATTCATTGCACAACGGCCTTCCTGAGCACTGGTGAATGAAGGATGACCTGGAGGAAATGATTGTATCCAGTCATACCATTTCACAGTTGCTCAGGTTAGAATTAATCAAAAAATAGTAACGCTGATCATTTCTGGGTTTAAAATAAACACAAAAACTTTTCTTCGGGCTAGCCTAGTTTCTGCACACTGTACAATAAAAGACAACAGCTGAAGGGGGGGGGTGTCTTATGGCCAGTGGCTGAGCCACTCACTGTTCTGCCATTTGTAAATGGAAGCAGTTCAGCAAAATAATGCCCATAATGTAGAATGTCTGTTTTGAGAACTGTGTCTTTACCTAAGAAAGAGATCAATAAGGATTAAGTGCAAGGAACGGAGAAGAGCTGGTCATCTTCTCTGGAAGCAAATTATTACTACTTATTGAATGAAATAACAGGTAGAACAAGTCAATATAATTTTTTTCTTTAAAAAAAACTTGTGCCTGTATTACGATTCTAGCTGACTCCATTAATCTGTTAAGTAACCTGGATTCCTTTCCTCACAAAGAGATCAGTTTGTCCTTTGCACGTAAAAACAATCAAGTTCCCTGGGGCTTTTACACAATACAATGTGAAGCAATGCCAAACAGTTATTGCATAAATTAACTGGTCCGTCAGGCACTATTTCTCCCCAGGGCATAATCAGAAAGGAATCATTTTTACTTTAAACTGTGACCTTTGGACTCTTGGAAGTCATTGACCTCAGAGAGATTTCTTCTTTAAGGCATGCAGGCTTCTTAACTGGGGCTGCCACTTTTTAGAGGACCACACAATGCTAGCGGTATAATATACATATGCAACATGCGACATCATCCTTCAGACTGCACTATTTATTAAAAGGCGGTGAATGCCAAGTTATTTTGAGTTTCATTGATGGAAGCGCACTGGGTAAGCAACAATAAATAACCTCCTAGTAAATGAGATGCAAACACATCTGTCTTAACACAGTAGGAGAAGCAAATCCGTATGCCACTGACAACCAGAAACCTCCTCCATTTCCTTTTCTGTTTGTCAATACCAAAATGTAGTCTGTGGCACTAATGCTATACACTCAGGGTGGTCTGTTTTTCCTCTCAATAAATGCCAGATGCTCAAATGTAAATTGCTTGTAGTCAGAGGAAGTTCATTTTTCCCCCCATTTAGCCTCTCAGCAGCTGCTTTGAGTTTGTGCAGCAGTGACAATGATAGGACAAGATTTGGGCTTGTTCACGCACACATGAACATGCAAAGGCAAACAGCTTCTGGTACTTTTTGCAGGAGGTATTCAGGTCTCTTGGCATGTGTTTCCTGTACAAGCCCCAATGAAATGAACATGGACTGTTGTATATGCATAATGATCGGTTGCATAGCCAGAAAATGTTGGTTGGTAGGGCATGGGGAAATCCGGGGGGGGGTGCCCCAGCCATGCCTGCTGCTCCTCTTGCAGTAGCAGAAGAAGCAGCTCTGCTGCAACCTCTAGTCCTCCTCAAGTCCTCGAGTCCTTTCGATTGGAGAGACTCAATTCCAGGCTGCCTTTCTGTGTAAGCTGGGGGGGGGGCTCTCCAACTCTCTCTCTTTTGCATTTTGCAATTTAATATTTGCAATTTAATGTAATTTTGCATTTTTAGAAACCTATTTATTTTTTGGCTCGGAAGAAAGAAAAGGAGATTGAAGCTTCCCTGACTTATTACATTTTAATTTTCATCTGGGGGGGGGGGGATTGCCCACAAATGCCCCCCCATGGCTATGGGCCTGATAATAATATTCTTGGATGGTCCCATTGTAATGACTGGAAATCCCAAGTAAAAATGGCTAGTATCAAGCCCTAAGTGCTTTACTCATGCATAATCAATACATCATTTAAGTACAGGTATTCTTCTTCCCCACCGGAAAAACTCAAGTTTAAGCCCCCAGGGGTTTAGCTGGTAGAGCATCTGCCAGCAGAAGGTACCAGGTTCAATCCACAGCATCTCCAATTAAAAGTATCAGGTAGTAGGTGATGTGAAAACCTTAATCCGAGGTCCTGGAGAGCCTCTGCCAGACAATACGGACTTTGATGGACCGATGGTCTGATTCAGTATAAGGCAGCTTCATACAATCATGTGTGTTCATTGTATGAACCCGTAGGAACTGCATCTGTGTTTTTAATCCCACATTTGTCTTTTTTGCCTTTCCTCACCAGATTTTACTAATCATCTTTGATCTGCATATAGAGTTGCCAGGTGCCTCCTGGACACTGGCAGGGGATGGTGGAGTAGGGTTGTCAGATCCAGGTTGGGAAACTCCTGGCAATTTGGGGATGGGGCCTGTGGAGGACAGGGACCTCAGTGGGTTACAATGCCATACAGTCCACCCTTGAAAGCATCCATTTCCCCCAAGGGAACTGATGTCTGTAGTCTGGAGAGGTAATTCTGGAAGATCCCCAGGCCCCACCTGTAGGTTGGAATCCCTATCTGTATAATGGCCATGGAGAGTTATTTCATAGAATGAAAGTAATGAACATAAAATTAAATAATGAAGTATGAAAATATACACCTTGATGCAGATAATGAAATTCTAGCAAGGGGAAAAATGTAATGTGCTCGAAACAAAAATCCATAAATAAAATCTTGTTTATGCAGCTTCCTGGTAGAGTGCTTCTAAAGTGTATCATGTTCAGGGTACAGGAGGAAATGATGCATCTTTCAAAGCATGTAGAAAGGAAACACTATTCTTATTCCATGCTAACCTGTTTTTCCACTTACATTCAGCCGACGTTTAGGAATGTGTTTGTGGATTTGAGCATCCTTTGTTTTCTACCATAAGTTGACTCTTTCCAAATCTCTCCTAGGGGCAAATATCTGGATCACTCCAATTTTTATGAGTTCAAGATGTATCCAGAAAGCAAAACTTGCAAACACAAGCTGTTTGTAATTTTCAGAGCATAGTTTGGCCAGACTTCTGAACAACGCTGAACACCTGCAAGATTCCCCTTTGTGGTGGAAAACAAGAGTCAGATTTGGTCATATGAAACAGTATATGTGCCAGTGAAATCGGGAGGAATGAATCCAGCTTCCTTTAAAATGTTAACTCAAATGAAGAAACCCATTATATTTGGGGCTTTTAAAAATGAGTTTATTTATTGAAAGGGGGGGGGATTGAAAGCCACTTCTCAGAACTGCTTCCATGTGGTAGAATTCTGACTCAAGTCAGTGCTTCACATTAATGCTTTGCTTGCACTGCCCTAAGCATTTGAAATGTCACTCATTTGAACTGAAAACCAATGTTCCAAAATTAGTTGTGATTTTTTAAATGGATGGTCCCATGAAGGGGTTTCATGTGGTTAGGAGCACAGGAGAGAACCTTGAACCCAGTGTCTTGTCAAACAAAGTATCCATGCCAGCAAGTATTGAATGTTGTGTTATTCTTCTACTGCCACCTTCGTAGAGGAATCAGAGCCTAAAGATATAAATGGCCATGCTGCTAGGCCCCATTCAAGAGGTCCAGCCTACCTTGTTAGAGAGCAGATGACCACTGTGCTATCTGTAGAGTTTAAATGGGCCATCTATGTGTGGACCTCTAAGACCGCTATTGCACAAAAGGGTCATATAATGCAATCTGCTGGAATCAGGTCTGTAAAGTGCTTCTTGCAACTAACATCTACTTCTCATACTTGGGGCATGTTGATCTATTGTTTTAAAAATTATCACCCCCTCTTTTTCTTGTATTTTTAATTAGAATTTCTACTTGGCAAACAAAGGGAAAAATGAAAGCAAAAAGATGAATGAGAAAAGCAAAGAAGCTTTGCTGGAGGTAAGTCGTGTTTTGGATGAGCCACAATGCATTTGTTTGAGAACTAGGCTAACCCCTGCCCCTACAGACACCACCACCATGAATGTTTGTCAATCAATAGAAACATTTCAGTTCTTCATCTGTCGCTGCACAAAACCAGGAAGTTCTGTGATGACAGTTGTTCTGAAGGCTGTGCATACGAGTTCTTTAATGGAACCAAGCAAGGTTCTGCAACTTGGAACCAAATCCGGCATGTTTCTGGGAGTCCCATGAATGTTGCTAGTGTTTTTCTTTAAGTATGTCCCATGCTGTCTTCCAACCCTGAAATGGCTCTTCAGATCTGGTTATTGCTGTGTTAGGAAAACATTGGTACAAGTACCTGTATGTTCGCCCCAACAGGGCAAGTAATCTACAGGGCCCTTTCAGGTTGGGGAAGTGAAAGGAAGGCTTTAAATGTCCATTTCTTTGTCTAGCAGCCCCAGTCAGAATCAGGCTTCCTTGTGCCTGCTTAAGTAAACAACAACAACAGTAACAACAACTAGATGTGCCATTCACAGAACTTCCAGCATCACATCTTAGCCAAAATAAAGACACAGGAAGACTCATCATGAAAACTTTGGAGGGGCAGATTCGGAAAAAATTCACAAGATCCTGAAAATCTTCCCTATCTTCTTAATGAGGCTAAACAAACTTGGGAAAGGGAGGCCAAACCTGAAAAACTTGTGCTCTTGCCAAAACATCTTTTTTAAAAATGTTGATTTTTATTTTTTTTTAGCAGGGCACACTTTGTTCCTTTTATTCTTTTATTTGTTAAAGGCAAGCATATAATAAGTTCTAAACAGTTATCAGTCTTTGCTCCTCTCCCCACGCTTCATATGTGCTGTTTCTCTTTTAAAATGTAAATATGTACCTTTATCTACTTTGACATACATTTGATAGCTTATTTTAAAAGCCCAAACATTTTCAAACATTGTAAAACTGCTGTGAGGAGTAGGGGGAAGGATGGGGAGAAATCATCACGGTATAGTCGCTAGCCAATCAGTGCTATGCCTGGCCAGTCCTTCTTCACAACTGCTTTTTCTTGACCTGCATCCTGAGGATGAATACACCTGGCTGTTGTCCAGTATGGCAAATATGCCTCAAGATATCAATGACTACTGTTTTTATGTACAGCTATAGTTTTATGTATATCTATAGATCATTATCTGATCTCCTCCGGAGGCATGTTTTTGCATGGAATCATAGAGAAGACATAACCAATGTGCTACTGTTGTTTAATGTGGCTGGTTGGGGGTACTCCTGTTTTGTAACCCAATTCTTACTCCACAGGAAAGCTTCTGTGGCACATCTGTCATTGTGCCAGAACTTGAAGGGGCTCTTTATTTAAAAGAAGATGGAAAGAAGTCCTGGAAGAGACGTTATTTTCTTCTGCGAGCTTCTGGAATTTATTATGTACCCAAAGGAAAGACCAAGGTCAGGCATGTCAAAGAAATCCTTTCAAGCAATAAAGCCATGCATGAAGGTGAAAGTGAAGAACTCCCAAGGTGACTGTCCAAGAACTGCCTCTGGTGCACCTGAGAAGGGGTCCTTCTTTGGACCGCAACACTTGTGCAAATATCGGGAGGCAGTTGCCGGGCTAGTCAGGCTACCCCCACTTCTGTTCTCATAGTCAGATAAAAACAACGTGGTATTTATTTGAAATCTAGACTTGAAAAGAAATGACCCCCCCCTAAACCTGCTTGTTGGCCTTTTGCAGCAAAAGGGTGCAGTTACTTTCCCTCTGGTTCCCAACGGAGAAAGTATGTTGACAGTTTGCAAACAGTCTGGATGTCCCGGGGCAAAAAATGCAAATAGAAGAAACCTCCCATTGTCTGTGAGCAAGCTAGTAAGAAAGCTGCAACGGGGCTCCGGTAGCCTGAGCTGGGAACATTTCCCCTTGCCCTTTCCACAGAGTCTATGTGGAAGTGTTGTGCAGTCCTTTAGTACAGATGCCCGACATTTTCAGCTCAGGATTGGTATTTGCTTAGATAATACAGCACAGCTTTTGAGGGGAGGGGAGGGGAGGGGCTGTGGCTCAGAGGAAGAGCCTCTGCTTGGCACGCAGAAGGTCCCAGGTTCAGTCCCTGGCAGCACCTCTAGTTGAAAGGATCAGGTGGTCAGGGAGGTGAAGGAAATCTGCCGGAGGCCCTGGAGAACTGCTGCTGGTCTAAGTAGACCGTACTGACCTTGATGGACCGATGGTCTGATCCAGTATAAAGCGGCTTCATAAGTGCTGATGCAGAACAGCTCAAGCTGTAAGGCTGGTCCGGACTGCCTCTGCACGCTTCACATCTGAGGCTGCAGTCCGATGTTGCTGCAGTGAGGTGTCCATACACTTCGATAGGATGAATGTGCCTGACTGTTCCCTGAAAATGAATGGCAGCAGTGATGCTGGTTATATCTGCATAGCCACCCCACAATAAACCAGCAAGGTATAGCCGAGTCCATAGGAAAATCACCTGTTATTTCTGCCAGAGTACCTATTCTTCACTTTCAAAAACTCATTCAAAGCCAAGAAAAGCTAAAATCTGACCAGCAAAAAAAAAAAAAAAGTTCCGTGTGTGTGTTTGTATGCACACAAACACATATTCACATTTTCTGCAGAAAAAGAAAAAGGCAAACTATTGGAGTGGCATTTTTAGAGAATTCTGCAAAATTCTGCTCATGCCAGCTATGAGGAGGGGCAAGGAACTGTAGTCCAACCAGCCGAAATTCTAGTTTGCTCAACTTTTCTTTAATTTCCAAATATTTACTTGTCTTTTAAATTTTTTGTGTGTGTGTGTGAGAGAGAGAGAGAGAATCTTCCCTTTCCTTGGAGCTGTTGATAAAGTTCTCCCCCTCTTCGTTTTCTCACTGAAACAACCCAGGGAAGTAGGCTGAGAGAGTAGCTGGTCGAAGGTCACCAAAACCAAACCACATAAGACCTTTATGAGGAACAGCTACAGTGACACAAACCCATGTGCAGACTTCCAAGTTCGGCAGATGCTGGTGGTGGAAAGTACCATCAAGTCGCAACTGACTTATGGTGAACCTGTAGGATTTGCCTTTCCTTTCCTTTCCCCAGAAGTGATGTCACTAGGAATTGTCAGAAACTCTGTGTTAAAACCATGCCATTTCCCGAGATTGCTGGAGTGGTGTGATAACACTTCTGGGGTTTCCTCGAAGTGACATCACACCATTGCTGACGGCTGCTGGTTGCCAGGTCTGCCAACCCTACTTCAGCATGGCAAATTCCATCCTCCGCACTTGATCGCCATAGTTTCTTTTTTAAAACTAAAATTAATATCGCAGCATTTTTATCGGATGGAGTTGGAGAAAATCACTCCTGCCCGCTGCAACATGGAATTATAAATTTAGTGATGGTAATCCAAGATGGTCATCCACATGGCTACAGATCTGAGGGTCATTTGCATACTGGTACCACGGCTTCCATCATGACACCTGACCTTGTGGGCATCTCTTTGAATGAATAGGCAGCCATTTCCTTCAGGCCAATTATAACTATGTTTGGGAAGCCTTTTATTGTTTGGGTGTCTCTAGGTATGATTGTAATAGGTCAAAACCACAGGCAGCCTGTTTACAAAAGCTGGCAATCACACACAGGGGTGTTTTGTGTTGTTTGTGGCTGCATTCGCAGCTGTACTGTTAACCAAATATGAACACTACGTTTGAGCATTAACAGCAGAGTCATCCAGGCTGTAGAGCAGCTGTACAATTTGTGGATTTTTAGGCATCCATTTTTGTTTCTCCTTACTCACCAGCTCTCCTCCCAGTAGTGGATTACGTGCATTCTTTTTGCAAAACCCGGAAGAACTCTTTCTCCCCAGATATTTTACCCACATTTATCTGTATTTAAATATCTGGTTTTGGTCTCCTTTGATCATGCTCCACATTAAATATCACAATACATCCTGATATACACAACCATTTTTATTTGAGGCCTTCCACTTTTCTTCTCCCAGGAACCACCAAAACTCTCTCAAGAAGAGAGAACAAAACAATTCTTGCTGATACGAAATATCCACTGATTTGACCAGGACTCTTGGTCATGAGGGGAATGTATAGAGGAGGACTCTCTAGAAGCACCCACCTATCCTGCTGTCCTCTGAGTCTGAAAATCGTCTCTACCACCTGTCTGTTTTTATGTCACCATTAGAAGACTGGCTTCCAGTCCTGCCTGTGTGAATGCTGTTCTTTTAGTCTTCCCTACATACCCTGCCCAGGGCAATGGAAAATATCACACTCCACCTACGCCCTGGTAGATTTTACTTCCTTTCTTGTAGTTCTAATCTATATACTAATAGCCAAGACGCCCCCTCTGTGCGGATATCTAAATCCGCACATCGGGGGCACTTGGGGGGGGGGCAAAGAGATTTTCCTGCACACTTGGGGCAGTCCCCAGGTGTGCAGATGAATCTCAAAAGTTGAAAAAAATATACAGGGGGATACTTAAATCCCCCCCAAAAGTAAAAGAGCGTTCCCTCTGCATGCGGAGAGAACGCTTTGGCCCTTGTGGGGAAGGCTCAGCAGGCCCGGAGGTTGGGAGCCGTTCAGGCCTTGGTGCGGGGGGGGCGGGGGAGAAGGGAAGGCTCACCCACGGCTGCTTCCTCCTCCGCATGGAGCTTTTCTCCCCCCCTTCTTGTCTATACATCTAATAGCCAAGGCGCCCCCTGCATGCAGATATCTAAATTCGCACATCGGGGGCACCTAGGGGGCAAAGAGATTTTCCTGCACATTTGGGGCAATCCCCAGATGTGCAGAAAAATCTGAAATCTATAAAAAACTATAGGGGGGATACTTAAATCCCCCCAAAAGTAGAAGAGCGTTCCCTGCACATGCCACCTCTCTGAAACGTCCAAGTCCCACTAGGGATCGCCAGACGTCAACCATGACTTCCAGGCAGGTATGCACGCACAGACACACACAGACACACACAAATACTCAACCGCTAAAAAAAAGAGAGAATGTATTCCTGAATATGTATAAAAACAAAATGAGATAGCAGCCAGTTTAAAAAAGCAAGCAGAGATCCCAACTGCACAAACCAGTACATGCACTAGTTTGTTTTAAAGCAAGAGGATACTAAACTGCAATTGCATTTCCATTAAGAAGCACAGTGTCAGTGTTTGGATACGTCAGACGCCTCACTGCAATAGCTTAGCTCTGGAAATGGGAACGTTAGTAAGGAAAACTATGTTGCCATAGCAACACATTAAGAACAAGTAATGGTTATTTCACAGCAGTTGCCAAAAGACTACTTGATATTAGAGCAAAATGGCCCTTTCTGAGGAAGCCTGGAGAAGACTTGCAGCTCCTCTTTGCACTTGTGTCCAAATGGGTACAGGCACCGTTTGGTCCGACCTAGAGAAAAGTCTTCTTTTTGGAAAGATACTTCAGCTTCTTTGGTTTCTTTTCCTCCAAGAAAGAGAAAATTATCAGTCATTTTTGTGTACCTGTTTTCATAATGGAGCTAGTGATGGAGCCTTCCTTTAATGGAAAGAGTCTTCCACCTGTTCTGGTGGAAGACAGCTCCTTGCATTGGAGGAAGGCTCCACCATTAGCGAAGTGGAGACTTTGGGTCCAACCTGACAGTGGTCATGATGTCCTATATACTGGAAGGAGAGAACAAATGGATCCCCACTCCTTGAAACACCCTCTCAAAATCCCATTTCTGGGCTTCACAGCTTCGTTCTTCCCCCTTTACATTGTCATCTATTGTGTATCCTTGTTCTTGGGGGAATTAAGAGTCCAGGGGTTTTTCCTAGGAGTCCCATCCACACCCAGCTCGATAAGGGGGGGGGAGTGAAAACTGGCAGGGACCCCATAGTTTGAAATTGCCACTTGCTTGAAAATTTGTGCAGTATGGTTTTCTTTCAAGTTTGGTGGAGTGGTTAAGTGTGCGGTCTCTAATCTGGGAGAACCGAGTTTGATTCCCCACTCCTCCACTCGCAGCTGCTGGATGACCTTGGGCAAGCCACAGTTCTGACAAGAGCTGTCCTTGAAAGGGCAGTTCTTGAAAGAGCTCTCTCAGCCCCACCTACCTCACAGGGTGTCTGTTGTGGGGAGGGGAAGGGAAAGGAGTTTGTAAGCCGCTCAGAGTGGGGTATAAATCCAATCTCCTCCTCTTCTTCTTCTAAATGGTTTAAACTTTGGAACAGTCCCCTCAAAAAAAACTATGAGGTTCCAGCCAGTCCCCCCCCCCCATTGACCCAGGGGGGGGGGGGATTCCTAGGAAAAGCTCCTGGACTCTTAATTCCCCCAACACTTGTGTAGCCCAGGCCTCTCCTTCCCATTTGCGGGCTCCAGTTTTTATGGGGGAGGGGGAGATTTCACTGGCTGTATACAATCCACTATGGAGGAACCACACACACACACAACAGGTTCGGAAAACACATGGAGTAAATTGGCCACAACCCTATTGTCTACAGCTGTAAGAAGCACTGGCACAGCATGGGTCCACCAAATCCCATGCATCAGCTGGCCCCATGCCAGCTGATGTACCCGTCACCCAGCCAGCCGGCATGGGTGCTGAATAGCAGGTTGCTGGAGTTCACACAGACGACTGCCTCTTAGTGGTCTCCCCTGCCAGCTGGTCGTGAGGGCCATCACCAGTAGTCCATGATCACCAGTAGTCCATGAGCAGCCTTGCTCCCATCAGCCCTCACGCCAAGACCCCCTGAGGGGGACCCCCATATCCAGGAAAATGGCATGCAGGCTGATTTCCATAAGCAGATCTAGTCCCATGCTGTTACCGCCGAAACCTGTGATGAGAATCATGGCATAGAATACATAGCATTACACACTTCGCTAACCACATCATATTATTCGGTGTCGCCACCCCCCCTTTCCCCCACCCCGATACCCCGCTATAGATTATTGCCTTCTGACCATATACACACAAGGTGGGATGGGTGGGCAAGCCGTTCCGTGGCCAGACAAAGGATGAGGGGCGGGTGGCAAGCAGCTGGTCTCTTCCCCCCAATTGCCCTCCCCTGGACACCTCGTCACCTTGCCATTGGTCCCTGGGGGAGGGGGAAGTCCTGAGTTTCCCACCACTTGGCCACCCGCCCCCACCCAGCATCTGGCTAGCTCTTCCTCCCCCACCCAGCCCCGCAAAATTTGGGCCATGCTGAATTGGGCCCTTTCTGCATTCAGCATCTTTCTTCTATCTAAGTCCTGTTAAGTATAAAGATTTTCTCTTGGGATGTCACTGTACGAACCACCAGGAAAGGCATTGGCATGGATCAGCCGGAGGAGTAGTGAAGGCTGAAGAATCCTGCCTGCGTCTTAGGGTGGAGATCCACTGCCTTTATGCAGCTCCCTCAAGCCACGGTCTCTCTGCCCTATTTCTTTTGCTTGGAATGTAATTTAGGGGAAGGGGACTTCACACAAGTGCCAGCACTAGCTGCTGCTCTTACTAGGTTTCCCATATCCCAGGACTCACAGGGCCTCTTTGCACTATATAATCCTTGCTCACTGTTTCTATAGACATTAGTCACGCTCATTTCAAAGTACTTACCTTTTAATGCTTTAAGTGGCAAGAGAGAAAAGTACCTCCCGCCATATGAACCTGTCTGTTCATTAGGATTTTTACCTGCTCTGTGTGCCCTCCTTGTGTGAATTCAAATGGGTAGCCATAATTTTTTTTGGTAACTTCCAGCCCGAATAAGAGCTCAAAAGAACTAGAAAGCTTTCACACTGTTACGCAGTTGGTCCTAATAAAAGGTATTTGTGTGGATTGTGTTCTAGCCCCAAGAAACAGGGTTTTTTTAAAAAAAAAATGGTTTCTTGTGGGAATTGTATAGTGCTTCCTCTTTTTACTTAGTCACCCAGTGTGGGTATTTCTTTTCTCCTAGGCATATGCCAGTGATTAGCTGCCCACACCTTGTAATAATGGGAACTTTTGGGTAGCTTTATTTATTTATTATTTATTTATTAAATTTATACCCCGCCCTACCCCACGAGCAGGCTCAGGGCAGCTTACATAATTGGTCTATAGATGACCATACATTCACATAAAAACAATTTAAAATTCAATACAATAAAATAAAACAAAACCTCACAAAATGCTAGTGCTAATACATTGAATGCATAAGATGGCGTGCTGAAATTACCATACAACCAGACAGTTTTGCTCAGTGATCTTCCAGAGTACAGTGGTAGCAGCCAGATGTTAATACTGCGGGCCGGCTCATTGATGGTTGGGGGGGGGGGCGGCTCCTAGTTGAAAGCCTGGTGGAAGAGCTCCATCTTGCAGGCCCTGCAGAACTGCATAAGATCCCACAGGGCCCTGATCTCCTCCAGGAGCTCGTTCTACCAGTGCGGAGCCACCACCGAAAAGGCCCTGGCCCTAGTAGTGGCGAGCCTGGCATCCTTGGGGCCCGGTAGGGCCAGTCGGTTCTGAAGCAAATTCGGTATGCTATTGGTAGCCAGTGCAGCGCCTTCAGCACAGGCTGGATGTGTTCCATCTGGGAAGACCAGCTTTTTTTTGTTTATTATTTATTAAGTTGGATGTATTAGGCCGCCCTTCCCTGCAAGCAGGGCTCAGGGCGGCTTGTAACAAAAATAAATACAATAAATAGTCAATTAAAGAAACCCGACATTAAAATGCCTAAAACATATTAACAGATAAAAAGAATACACATTCCAAGATGGTGGGGAAAAATTCAGCTTCCGCAGGCCTCCTAGGGAACAGGGGTTACAATGGGTGAAAAGGAGTGTGTGTGAGAGGGCCAGATTTCGTACTGTCCCATCGCCGTCCTCAACTAAATGCCTGGCGGATAAGACAGATATTTTCTTTTTCTCACCCTTTCCTGCTGCTGTTGATAGTCTGGTGATTTAGTTGTTTATTACTCCTGTGTTGTTGCTGTTTTGTCACACTGCTGCTGTTGTACGGTTGCCTCGTTGTGCGTCACAGACTTTACCGTGCATTTTGCATTTTCTCTGTTTGTATAAACTGTTTCAAGGATATTGACTAAGAGTCTGTGTAAAACATCTTTTGAATAAATGCCACTCCCAGGACATCCATGTAGCAAGCAGTTCCCTCTGGCTTGTCACCTCACTAGCCCAGCCTCAGTTTCTTCTACAATGAGGCCACACTCTATATTCTCAGAGAGCCACCGGAGGTATCTATGAATCCATTAGTTCCCTGGGGTCTGGGCACTCTGTCATCCCACAAAGTCAGATGAATTGCGCTGAAAAGGCACTAAGAGATCATGTTTACGAACGTATGCGGTACTTGGGAGGTAAGGAAGAAGTATGCTAAGAGGATGTTTTATGCAAATTTTATTGCAGCTACTCATTGTTTAAGTTAAAATTTTGCAAAAGCCATTCTTTCTGCTTTAGTAACAACATCGTCGATTCTTGCAGTGAAAATCAGCACCAGACTAACACAGGGTGACTGTTTCCTGCCCTGGGTTAATTCACATTCATAATGCTTAATGTTACGTTTGCCTTTAATCTTCTAGACGTCTCGGGATTTGGCTTGCTTCATACAGTTTGAGAACCTAAATGTCTATTATGGCGTCCAGTTCAAAGTGAAATATAAGGCACCGACAGATCACTGCTTTGTCTTAAAGGTACGTACGGGAGGCTGTGCCACTGCTATGAACGTGGAAACGGCATTTTTTAGGGACATTGGATGTAAAATATCAGTTGCAAAACTAAGAGCAGGGCTTACTGATTGTTAGCAGATCCAGAAACTGATTATCTGTTTGCACGACAAATGCCACCTTTGATTGATTTGGTTTAAATGAGCAGTTCATGAGCAGAACTTTGAAGACTGGGCAGTCTCCTGCAGGTGCCCGTCCAATCCAGAATTTGTGCTCATGTCAGAATGAAGAACCAAGATCCTTTGCTGAGTATGACATTCAGATCTTCCAAGCAAGGCTGGCAAACCACAGACACTCAAGGGTGCGTTAACCTATTTCTCCCTTTCCACAGTGCTGCTCCTTTTAGGCCAGCAGTTTCAGAACTTCTAGTGCGGGATGGGACAGCCCTCATGGGTCAGACCCATGGATGCCGCCGCCATTTTAAAGAGATTTTAACATGCACGATTAGCCCTGCAGCACGGTGTGCTCATGCACTCTTGTCCCCCCCCTCCCGCATGCTTTTTCGAGTGCCAAAATGGCTGGACCCCCCCCCCCAATGGCTGTTTTAACACTTGAAGATGCATGTGGGGGGAACAAGAGTGCCTCACCCAGATGCACTGAAGCACTGAGCAGGATGGGGTCATCTCAGCATTTTTAAAGCTCTTTAAAATGGTAACAGCATCTAGTTTGGCCCACAGAGCGTAGGGCAAAAGAAACAAGAGTCTGGAATATGCATACCAGTGTGGGATACCCATACCAGTGCCTCATGGAGAGCCAGTGTGGTGTAGTAGGTTAAGAATGGCGGACTCCAATCTGGAGAACTGGGTTTGTTTCCTCATTCTTCCACATGAAGCCTGGTGGGTGACCTCGGGCCAGTCATAGTTCTCTCAGAACTCACTCAGCGCCATCTGTCTCACAAGGTGACTACTGTGGGGAGAGGGAGGGAAGGCGATTGCAAGCTGTTTTGAGACTCCTTAGGGTAGAGAAAAGTGGGGTATAAAAACCAACTCTTCTTCATTTATAGCATGCATGTTTTTAGCTGGAACCATAAATGTTTTCTTTAAAAAAACCTTTTAAAATGATTCTGAGGTTTCCACTAAAGGGGCATTGCATTCCAGTCCTAAACAGATTTAGCTGGAATGAAGTCCAATTGAATGAAAGCTCAAATATGTATGTTTTGCTTTTGTGCTAGCCAGGCAACTTGGCATGTGCAATCCTTCCTTACACGGAACACCCTCTGAAGCCAAGGAGATAGCCATCTTGTCAGGAGCAGAGAGTATTTACTTTGCTGCTGAATGCAAGTTGCAGACATTCTGGAATATTGCATTTCTTGCAGAGGTTTCTAAAAGCCACCGACATAGAATCTTAGCTTCAGGTTTTAAAAATATGCATTTTTCACCGTTGACAGTAGCAAGGTAATCTATATGTAAATTGGCTCGCTTAGTCAGTCTGTTGTGTCTCGGATACCAAGAGAATTTAATTATGCTTTATTGGTGCAGGTTTTGCTTGAGTAACCTGAGAGTAATGGTGCATAATGTGGAATTAATCTAGGGTGAAAGAATTGGTGCCCGGGGAACAAAGCGACACAAGAGCATCATCATACGCTATTTCCGTTCCTCGCCACACCTGCCTTTGTGGTTCATCCAGCTGGGTTTTCCTAATAACCTTTCGAGATGCCTTTCAGATCTCAGACAGTTCTCCAAACAATTGTGTAGCCATATTATTTAACAGTGGTATTAACCTGCGGGGGCTCATTCATGAGACCTGTTTGTTTACTCCAAAGATGTGTATGCCACCTCTTCAGAGAGCACTCGAGAGGGTTAACAAAGTAAAAACAGTATAGTCATCAAAACAAGAATGTATGGATAATTAGCATTAAAACAGTAAGTAAAAAGCATTAAAACAAGCCACAAAACCAGAGCTACTGTTACAAAACAACATTCAGTAGCCAAAATGAAATGGTAGCCAAATGGTAGGAGGCTTAGGGGCAGGAACTTGGAGAGACGTCAACATCCTGTGTGCTGCTATGTCACTTACAGGGAAAACCTGGACATGACATAAGGTAGCTCTAGGAATTCCTGGAAATTCTACCATAGAGTTTCTGGCAATTCCTAGAGCTACCCTATGTTGTTTCTGTGTTTCCCCCAGAAGTGACGTAGTGACACAGATGATGCTGGTGTTTTTTTAAGATTTATTTTTCTTATTTTTTATTTATTTTTTATTTATTTTTCTTATGCTGCTGCTTGGAGCAAAGAGGTCTAGACGAGAGAAGTCCTTCTGCCCTAGTTGGAGGCGTGGCAGTCCTATTCAGGATGGTTTAGTTGATACAGTGTTTGCAGTTTCCCATGGTATAGAGTGGGAAGTGCATAAAGCTTGAAGTCCAGGATTTGTCTTTCCTTGTCTTCTGTCCCCCTCTCGTCTATCTGAGATGCCTGATCAGCGATAGTGACTGTAAGCAATCAAGCTGTGAGAAGTGCAGTTTATCACCTGATAGAACTGTAAGGACTCAAGTGTCTTGCAAAAAGTCCATGTGACTTCATGTCCAGCATTTTTTGTAACTCTGGAAAAATAGTTTGTGTGCTTCCACCTGGAAATTTAATCCAGGTAATAAGAGTAGCTGTAGCGGCCAAAGCTGTCTCTTCTACACAACTCTGGAAACTTCATTCTAAAACCAGAAATAAAATCCCATTCCCTTGGATTGACATACCTGCTTTCAGGTAAATTATATGTATTAGGACTACAGATTCCTTTAAGAAACTATCCCATGCTTAATTTGGCAAATTGAACAAGAACACTCGATAAAGAAGATAAGAGGAGGAGACATGCAGGTACTTGCAAGGGTTTGTGCCCTCATGGCCTTCTCTTTTCTTTTTCAAAAAGAAAAGCTGCTTTGGGGAGGAGCAACCTACAGTGAAGACGTGACTGGGGGGCTTGTTCTGCTCCAAACTGTGCCCTTCCCTTGCAGTTTGCTTTCTACCTCCATGTTCCAAACAAGTGCTTTTGTAGAGGTTTTTCTAGGCAAAACAGCCTTTTTTATAGGCCCACTCAAAGGGGTGGGGAAAAAAGGCTTTGCAATGACCACTTTGCAGCAGGAAGCTAGCAGTGTGTGGGTTTGTGGTCCCGTACTGAAAATTACACCACTTCAGAGAACTAATTAGAATTTTTAAAAGACAGAACCATAAAATGGTGGGAATATGGGCCATATAGAGAGGTTGGGACCAGCACACCTTAAGCACAGGGTTGCCAGTTCTGTGCTGAGGAATTCCCAGAGACTGGCGTGGGGGGGGGGCGGAGTCTGGGAAGGGGGGGAGTGAGGAGTGGAGAGGGACTTCAGTGGCGTATGATGCCATAAGATCCACCATCCCAAACAGCCATTTTCTCCAGGGGAACTGCTGTCTGCTGTCTTGTAATTCTGAGTGATCCCCAGCCCCCCCCCCCCGCCGGAGGCTGACAACCCTAGTTAAGGACCATTTTCATCCCATACCACTCCTACCAGACCACTTCTTCCTCTATCTTCTTCTAGTGGGCAAAGACTTTTTGTTTCGTTTGGCATTCTCTTAATGACACTTCAGAGCCTAGCAGGCCATGAGACCAAGGGAGCCAGTTTGGTGTAGTGGTCAAGGACAGCAGGCTGGAGAACCAGGTCTGATTCCCCACTCAGCCAGGTGGGTGACCTAATCTGGAGAACCAGGTTTGATTCCCCACTCCTACACATGCAGCCAGCTGGGTGACCTTGGGTCAGCAACAGTTCTCTCAGAGCTCTCTCAGCCCCACCTACCTCAAAGGGTGTCTGTTGTGGGGAGAAGAAGGGAAAGGAGATTATTTGCTGCTCTGAGTGAAGGGTGGGGATATAAATCCAACTCCTCTTCTTCCCAGTGTCAGTTCCTGTTTTTTAAATATGCCTCTTTCTAGTCCAGCCTTCTGTAGGTAACTGTAGTCAGCCAAGTGCTGCTAGAAGCTTCCAAATAAGTCACAAGGCGATGAACTCTGTGGCTGCATTTGGTATTCTGAGGCATAAGGCCTGTGAAAAGGATGTTCCATTTAACTATTACTGGAGAGGCTGAGGTGGAGCAGGTAGGAAGTGCTTTGGCTCAAAGAGAAAGTGTGGATGAGAGTGGCTTAGCGGGGGGTGGAATCCTTGTAATGCCCCCTCCCCTGCTGATATTCTTGCTGGTTTGTTGAACTTTGCTTTGCCATTCAGCAGCTGTTCCTGGACACAGGCACCCTTCCTTGCCTTGCGACTGGAGATCTTAGGAGTGGAGATAGCAAGGCTGGTGTTTAAACCAGACACCTCGTGCAGAGGATAAACTGCTGTTAAAGGCTAGGTGAATAGGTCCACCCTGGAGTGGTTTCACACAGCACAGTGAAGCCTAGAAGGCATTTTAAAAAGTGTTGCAAACTGACACAGGGATGGGACACTGTAGTTGGGGCATGCAAAGGAAGCAGTGCTCAACATAAGCTTAGGCACTGAGTGTTCAGAGGGAGTTCCAGAGATGTTGAAGAATACTCCCCTCCCCTGTGTTTCAAGCTGTTCTGTCTATAGCGAAACCCAGCAATTTAGAACTGTTCTAAAAAGGAATTGGCTTAGTCATCAGGGAACTGTAGATCTTGACTGTAATGACTCTCTTGTGTAGCAGTAACACTTTTAGATGAGTCCACCGTGCTTTAAAAAAGCAGGCTTCTGGAACTGTTGATTGGATAGAAAATATTTTTAAGCTAGCCTAAAATTCCGGGCTAGAATTTGCATTTTGAAATGCAGCTGTTTGAGAACTAGTCTTGTTCACTTAAAACAACACACTGTTCTTTGTTGTGATGGGAATGAGTCTGTGGGGTCCCTGGGCGCATGCGTAGCTTGGAAAGTAAACATTTCTTCTTTTCACAGCAAACCACAATTTGTGGCTATGTCTGAACAAGCCATTGTTTGTTGTCTTCCCCCCGAACCACAGTGGTTCAGATGTAACCACAACCTATGGCTTGCTGCAAATAGCTTTTTTTTGTGAAGGGCCACTCACATTGTCTTTTGTCTCATAGCTTTAAAGAAAAGTATCACCAAAAATAAGGTCCAAAAAGTACCCACTTTGGGGGATTCAAGTATCATAGATGACCACAAAGCTTTGCTAAAAATCCCATACTGTTCTCCGCCCCCCCCCCCCCCCATTGGACAAATAGGATACAGACCTCCACTACTATCTGCTGTGACTGGCAGAAGATCTATTACCAGTTAGACTTTTAAAAAACCCAACCGCTTTGATGTGCCAGGGATTGAATGGAGGAGGGGGGACTTCTGCATATGCCATTAACTGTGGGCCCTTCTCCCCCTCAACGGGACAGTGTGCATGTTCTGTGATGAAGTGGTACTGGCGCATCATTTTGCTAAATTTGCAAGAGTATAAAAAATACACAGGATCCAAGCTGTATCCAGCTGGTTCAGGACCTGCATGTCCGTACGAGTATATACAATAAAAACCAGTAGGCTCAGGACCAAGTAGCAGGATGTTTACTCTGGACTTTAAAGGAAGTTAGAAGGTCACTCAAACACACACACACAAATGAGCACAAACATATACTTGATGATGATCATCTGGAAGAACCCTTTGATGCTTTCGTACACGGTAAAATCACAGCTCATCATATCATACAAAAACGGGCTGAGCCCAAACCTCGCGACTGGTCACGACCCTATGGGGTGCAAGCACATTGGGGGAATTGCTCTGACGCATCCCTCTCCCAGACAGATGCCTTAAAACTCTTTCATGTCCCTTTGTACCGAAAACACGTCTGTCATACAACAGTCACATAAACTACCTTTAAAGTAAAACCAAACCCTAACGTCACCATTTCTTCCTGATTTTATTCATTAAAACATTGTTTCTTCAAAGACACGAGCCCCTTTAGAAAAATCTATGGTTAAAAATATTATTTGGCATGAAATTACAAAGGATGCCTGCAGTTATTGGAATGTTTGCCTTGACAAAAAACTTTCCCATTTTTAGGGTATTCAGTGCCATCTGCTGGAATTAGCCATCTATTACAAGAAAGCAAAAAAATGTAGCTGTTAAAAATCTGAATTTCTCTCGTTTATTGGAAAAGCAATGAGTATCTTCTCTAATGCAGCTAACTGTCATTACTGAGTTGGATATTCCTATTCAATTAGATAATCTGTTTGTTAGAAATGGTGATAATTATCAGCAAGTGTGTCTTACACAGAGACTAGTTAGCTAAGATTAATTTGTAAACCCAGCTGTGGTTTGTATCCTGTGGTTTCTAATCCCACTGTGTGATGCCATACACACATAAGTGGTTTTGCTCTGCTCCATGGTACTGCATGCAGTTTGGACATGGAACGGTTGCTGACCTTGAGTACAACAGCTACATCCAGACATAATGGTAAACCAGGAAGTTCTCGGGTTTGTGCATTCCCTTTCCTCCCTCCCTTTGCAAAGCTCAGAAACTGAAAATGTCCTACTTTGTGGCAAAACATAGTTTATCTCTGAGCCACAAAAACACTGAAAATGTCCTACTTTGTGGCAAAACATAGTTTATCTCTGAGCCACAAAAACACAGTTTAATTCTCCTCTAAAACCCAATGTGAAGCCATGGTCGTAACAACAAACCATGGTTTGATGAAAACCGGGAAGTCTTCAATGTTGGAAAGGAGGGAAGGGGAAACACTTATTTTGCAGCATTAACCATCAAGTGGAACTCATCTGTGTGAAAGATGACTGCACATCATCTCACTGTCATTTCCTTGAACCACTTAACTTCATACTTGATGCAGAATCTGAGGAAGAACCTGTACGTTAAGCCCTTTAGACACATTAGTTTTATTTTGTAATCAACACATGACACACTTTGATGTGGTCCATGGGGTCGCGAAGAGTCGGACTCGACTGTGCGACAACAAACTTCTATATTGTGAAGCAAGCCTAATATTTCTTTGAATTTATCCAAAAACAGAGAGTAAGAAAAGTTTGGGTGCAAACTGATGC